GATAGTGTTTTAAGTTTCCTTTATAAGTATGTTTATTGTGTCAAAAACTTATTTTTTTTTTTATGAGGATGCTTTTTTCCCTTATCTTTTGGCTGTGCCACATAGCCTGTGGGATCTTAGGTCCCTGACCAGGGATAGAACCCGAACCACCACCTGCGTTGGCAGCGAGGGCTCCTAACACTGGGCCACCAGAGGAGTCCCGAGAATTGAACTGATAGAGGAAAATATTAAGGACTCTAGGACTCACAGAGCTCCCGGGGTGTGGGAAACACTATTAAGATGGTATGTGAATGACTGAGGCTTGAGCCACTTTGCTGCAGAGTACTCTTAAACTTGTCTTCATCAACAGCAAGTAGTCATTGGATTGTCTTGTATGTTAGAGGGTGCTTTTCCTAATTCCACAAGAGTTACAGGGAAGAACAACAGAGGGCAAAAGTGAAGTCTCAAAGACGGTTATCAACCACCTTGTCAAGATGGGTTGGTGACTGTGGAGGTCATGACCAGAAGAAAAGGCCAAGTGTTCAAGAGAAAGTGTGAGATTCAGCAAAGCAAGTCCATTTTCAATTTTAACCCCAAAGAAAAAAAGCCACTGAAATCACATGTGATGCTTGCTTTTCAGGAGACTTTCTAATAGCAAGCATATGTTTATTATTGTGATCCTTCAAGATTGTCTGTTCCCCACCCCCTCCCCCCTTACTCCCTCTAAGCAACTATACAACTTGACGTTGTTGAAGCAGAGACAGAGGCGATAACCCAAGGAAATACACTCCTCCAAGCCAGGAGAACCACCAAGTGCTTATCTGTGGCATCACTTCCTCCAGGAATACAAAAGGTAAAATGCAGAAACAAACTTGCGTCTAAATCCTTACACGGAAGTCAATGTTCAGGGCTGTTGTGAAAACCAAATTCTCTCCCATTTAAAGCTGCCCTTTGTGTCTCCACTCCTAGAATTCAGGGCACAACGAGTGGACTTGCCAGGTCTGATTCCTCTACTTCCGAGCCCGAGGGGTTCAGCTTCTGCTATAATCTGGGCAACAGTAGGGTTTGCCGCTTTATATTGACTTGGTCAGCTGTTCAAATATCAAGCTGGTATATTAGCATCTGGCATATCATGCATGCTCTGTGGAGAGATATTCTCCAGACCAACCCCACAGAATTTCTGCAAGGATGCAAACATTTGTCCAAAACAGTAGCCATTAGCATGTGTACTTTTAAGCCTTTGCATATGGCCAGTTGTTCAGTCCCTCAGTCATGTCCGATTCTTTACAAACATACAGACTGCAGCATGCCAGGCTCCTCTGTCCTTCACTGTCTCTGGGAGATTGCTCAAATTTATGTCAATTGAGTTCACGATGCTACATAACCATCTCATCCTCTGTCACCCCTTTCTCCTTTTGCCTTCAGTCTTTCCCAGCTGATGCGGCGGTACAACTGAGGAAATTGAATTTTAAATTTCATTTCATTATAATTGAAATTAACATATAAATAGAACATGTGTATATTATAGATGGTGCAGCACTTGATGATCCAGGACACTCCAACCCAAAGCTTGTACTTATCTGTACTTAGATCAAGTTTGTGCCTAAATTGCCCATGCTATTTTTCAATAGAATCTGAAGTATTTTTTTATACATAATAAGCATTTATTAAAGCTGACTATGTTCCAAACCCTCTTCTAAGTGCTTTAAAAATATCAACTCAGATATTCCTTACAACAGCCCTATAAAGTAGATAGCAATCAGTCAGTTTAGTCAGTTCAGTCGCTCAGTCGTGTCTGACTCTTTGCAACCCCATGAATCGCAGCATTCCAGGCCTCCCTGTCCATCACAAATTCCCAGAGTGTACTCAAACTCATGCCCATCGAGTCAGTGATGCCATCCAGCCATCTCATCCTCTGTTGTCCCCTTCTCCTCCTGCCCCCAATCTCTCCCAGCATCAGGGTCTTTTCCAATGAGTCAACTCTTCGCATGAGGTGGCCAAAGTATTGGAGTTTCAGCTTCAGCATCAGTCCTNCCATCCACATTGATTTTGGAGCCCAAGAAAATAAAATCAGTCACTGTTTCTACTTTTTCACCATCCATTTGCCATGAAGTGATGGGACCAGATGCCATGATCTTAGTTTTTTGAATGTTGAATTTTAAGTCTGCTTTTTCACTCTCTTCTGTCACCCTCATCAAGAGGCTCTTTAGTTCCCTCTCTGCTTACTGCCGTTAGAGTAGTGTCATCTGCTTATCTGAAGTTGTTGCTATTTCTCTAGGCCGTCTTGATTCCAGGTTGTGATTCTTCCAGTCTGATATTTCACATGATGTACTCTGCTGGAATTTCTCAGTTCATGTACTGCTGAAGCCTAGCTTGAAGGATTTTGAGCATAACCTTATTAGCATGTGAAATGAGTGCAATTGTATGGTAGTTTGTACGTTCTTTGGCACTGCCCTTTTTTAGGATTGGAATGAAAACTGTCCTTTTCCAGTCCTGTGGCCCTGCTGAGTTTTCCAGATTTGCTGAACATATTGAGTGCAGCACTTTCATAGCATCATATTTTAGAATTTGAAATAGCTTAGCTGGAATTGAATCACCTCCACTAGCCTTGTTTGTAGTAATTCTTCCTAAGGATCACTTGACTTCACATTCCAGGATGTCTGGCTCTAGGTGATAGCTCTCAGAATGTTCTCATATGCTCTCATATGTTCTCATATATTTGAATCAGTTGTCCACGTTTCGAAATTAGAATCGTTCAAACAAAAGTCTGGATTTTCAACTTCCTTTTGAAAAATAAGAGGATTTGGCAACATGGAGCTTGCAGTTCCTCCAGCAACAGCACGAGCTACACAGAGGCCACCCCCTTTGCAGGAGGCCCGTTCTCTCCAGTCCATGGCAGCCCCACCTGGGCCTGTTTTTCAAAACCTGCCTGACCCTTCAAGACATTTGACTTTTTAATAACAGTATTCAACACACAGAAATAACTTAAGTAATTACCAAGCTAAGTGCTTAGTAGAAAAAAAAAACCAAACCACTGGGTTTTATGAGAGAGAAACAAGAGGAGTTGTGCCTCGTTAGATTGGGGAAGCTTCTGCAAGTGATGTTGGAGCTGGGGTGAGCTGGCAGGGCTTTCTCGGGTGGCTCAGCGGTAAATCTGCCTGGCAACGCAGGAGATGCAAGTTCCATTCCTGGGTTGGGAAGAACCCCTGGAGGAGGAGCAGCCACCCACTCCAGTATTTTTGCCGGGGAAGTCCCAAGGACAGAGGAGCCTGGCAGGCTGTAGCCCATGGGGTCACAAAAGAGCCAGACACGATTGAGTGACTGGGCATGCACGCAGGAGCCGTCAGGGCAGGGCAGAGGTTCCACAGACTCATTTGTAAACTCGGGCAAAGGGCAAGACCCAAATGTGATTGCACATCCCACTTTGTGTAGGTCTCACAGTAGTCCTCATGGTAATTACTAAACACAAGGGAAAGGAAGAGCAAACCTAGTAAGACTAAAAAGGCCATATTAGCCAGGAGCCATGACCTAGGAATGAGTTTTAATAGCACAGGTACTTGTAACCAGCAAGCCAGGGACCATGGGAAGGGTATCAGGCATGCAATGAAAAGAACCCAGAGCTTTCTTTTTTATGTTTGGAAACATGTCTGCCATGAAAATAAGGAAACCTGCAGAAAAGAGACCAGATTAGTAACTGGATCCAGTGATAATGAGCTTTCTGGGGCACTCGTCTACAACAACCCCACACTCTGACTGTGCTCAGCGGCTACAGAAGCAATTTCTTCTTCTTCCTCTTACGAATGACCTGTTTTTTTTTCCTGACACTGTATATTCTTTCAGAACCAGACAATCTCATTTCTCTGCACCCTATAGATCTCTTCAAAGAGAGCTCTGGGCACAAAGGAGATGCATGGGGCGTGGAGAATAATATGAATACGGCCTCCAATCCAATGTTGTTATGTGGCAAATATTCAGTTTAAAAGAGGATGTCGCAAGGGTAAGGGTGTTCACTGAAGCACCATCACAGAAATAATGGTGGCACTTCTTAATCTGATGTGTTTTTACATTTTTATGATAGGTTCCATATTCATCAAAAAAGAGACCACACTTTCTGATATTTAAAAGAAAGAAGCACAGCATGGAAAACATTCTCCAGAAATCAGATTTGACAGTGGGAAAGCTTCAAATGCAGGTAGTGGACAAAGGTTTTTACTTTGTGTTTCAAAAGCATCAGAGGCCTGGGCTCCACGGAACGCACAGCCTGGCTAGACAGCGTGGCTGTGGGACGAAACTAATGATTAGCATGAAGGCATCCTGTTAGTGGGGGGCGTTTGAGAGTGGCTGTGGGATCGCTGAGGGCACGGAGGATGATGCTGTGTGCCTCCTAAATGGTAAAGTTAATTCACTTAAAATGAAGCCACACACACACACACACACACACACACACACACACACACACGAGGGTTTGAGAAGAGATGAGATTGTCTTTAGCACTGGGTGGTAAATGCATGTTTTCAAGCTCTGATTGCTATGATTTGAATTAGAATACTACTTTGGGACTTGCAGACATCCACCAGTTCCTGAACTCATCTCTCAGGAAAAACAGCTCTCCCTGGGGTGTGGACAAGGCTTTCTAACACATGGCTTCGTTTCTTTGTCTTGGACTGTCATAGGTGGATGACCTCATAGAAACAGTGACAGATAAATCCATGAAGTTATTGGCCCAAAGACATGCTGAACTTCAACAGTGTGAGTTTCTAGGGGATGAAATTCTTCAGTCTTCGAAGCAGTTCCAGAGGATGTCCAAGCGAACCATGAGAAAGTATAAATTGAAAAATGTGTGTTTCCCATGTACCTGGTGCTGCTTCTGATTCAGTTTCTGATGGCATAAAAGTTATGTTCATAGGGATTCTTATCTCTTGGTACATAATCCTGATAAATTCCTCTTAATCAATTGGGGCGGGGGGTGAGTTTAAAAATATTCTGCCCAAAGTCCTTATAAAAATATTCTGCCCAATAGACCTTTTACAAAAACTGATTTTTCATTTTGAGTCAATATAAGCAAATTTTTGCCTCATAATTTTTACTAATAATGGAAAATAGAAATATTTACCAGGGCATACCAATTCTACAAAGAAATTTCTTCCATGATTTGCCAGATGAAATTAGAGGAAGCACTTAAAGGTATTTTGACACTTTCACTGTGACTACTATTGAGCTAACTTTAAACCTTTGTTTTTAAAGAGAAGAGTTCTTATTAAAATTACAAAAATGTAACATTATTAAGGTATGATTCATGCAAAGTGTCATGTTTCTGAACTAAAATGAATGGATAAGGATGGAACCTAGCAAGTATTAGACATATAATTCAATCCTTAAGAAAAGTACATGTGATTCAGACTTAGTTTAAATTCATAAAAAGATCATGAAATCCTTTTTTGCAAGACTCTTGAAAATGACTCCTACAGAAGAAAACAATAGAGAGAAAATGTTTTACCAAAACATTTACCAACCATATGTCTCAAGTATTAAGGACAGCGATCTAGAAAGTAATACATATTGATTGTCTTTGCATCTTATAATTACTTCTTAGCCCAGTGATTCTTCTTATCACAGAACCTCTCTCACAGTAAGCATACACCACAAACATTCTGTAAGTAATTTCACAAGTTCACAGCTCTCCTGAGAGCCTGTTCATGGTCTCCATTTTCAAAAGTGGTAACAATTTCCAGAAACTGACTCATTTTCTCATGTACATCCCAGAAGTGCCACCTTCTCACTATCTTCCATTTATTTTGTAAGCAAATCAATGTTACCAATTAAAAACTATCTAGAATGCCAATGAGCACAAACATATTTGGCTTGAAAACATTTTATTCAACATTTATTTTGGATATTGTTTCCCACCTTTTAAATACAAAAAAGACATTTCAGTAAAAACAAATATATAATGAAGTCATCTTCCTCTGTGTGAAGAAATATGAATGAACTCTGCATTAACATTTAAAAGCAAAATAGTTCACTGCCAAAACTTTACATATCTCGAGAGCACAACAGATTCTAAACACACTGAGATCACACTGCTACTTCAACATTCTTGGGAATGGGGAGTGATTCCTTGGTCTATGGTTTAGGATCAGTCTCCATGCTTGCTTCTTGAGCTTCTTCTACCTCTGAGAGCTTTTCATCATCTGCAGTTGAGAAAGAAACATAAAACTCTAATCAAATTTGCTTAAACTATATGTTTGATGAATATATGAAAACATTTTTGTCCTTTATAAGTGAATATATTTAAAGCAAAAATGGCAAAATGGCACCCTATGATTGCAACTGACCCACACAAGGGTGTTTGGTTTTTAAAAGTCCTGCTTTGGTTGTTGTTATTAGTTGAATTCCTGGAGGAGGGAATGGAGGCCCACTTCAGTGTTCTTGCCTGGAGGGTTAGATGGACAGGGGAGCCTGGTGGGCTACAGTCTATGGGATCGCAAAGAGTCGGACGTGACTGAGTGACTAAGCACACATTAGTTGAATCAAAATGCAAAATTTATGTGATAGACTTCAATTTAAAAAAGTTCCCTCTGGTCATTAAAATATCTGCATAGGGACTTCCCCGGTGGTCCAGTGGCTGAGACTCTGTGCTCCCAATGCAGGGGATCTGGGTTTGATCCCTGGTTAGGGAACTAGATCCCTCATGATGCAACTAAGAGTTGGCATGCCTCAACTAAGCCCTGATGCAGTCAAATAAATTAATCTTTAAAAAGTAAAATCTACACAAACATTCATTTTACAGTCATGCTACTTACTTTCCAGTGTTTGCTGAAGTTCATGGATGGTACTAAGAAGAACATGAAACTGTTTCCTTCTTAATTCCAGCTGTGTTAGTAAGAAAAAAAATTAATACACAATGATCTATAAACCAATACAGAACACAAAGACTAATACATGTCACATGCAAATACCTTATCTTCAACACTTTCTTTAATATGTGAAAGGTGTTCTAATTCTTTTCCCAGAGCCTCTAATTCTCTGAAAAAAAAATGAAACTGTTATATTTTGCTAATGGGGAGAAAATAATTCATAATTAATATCTAACTTTTTAGTTACTAAATAATCATATTTATTATAAAGGATAAGGAGTTCTAACCTCCATTAAGATGAGACTTTTAAAACTAAGGGTGATTCCTTAACTTCTAAATATGTACTAATTTTCATTAAAATTAAATTATAGGTAATTTATTTTAAAGTATATGAAAACTTGACAATAGGATATCAAACCCTTTTAACATTTTGTCATAATTCAAAACTTTTTTTTTGGTAAATGTGGTAAATTGCAGAATAATTAAATACCCTTTGAACTTAAACCCCTAGTCCTCTGAACCAGGACTTTTTCCCTCCTCTACTATCCATTCAGGCAATCCTTATATTATACCAATCCTTTTTTATGCATATATTTGTATCTCAATAATATACAGCATCAGTATATAATATTTGGAGGGCTCTAACTTTTATAAATGATTATTATTCTATATGTATTTCAGAAACTTAGTAATAATTTAAAGTTCATTATATTTATCTTCTGTTTTTCTTTTCACTGATTATTTTTTAAATTGGTGTTTGGAAAGTGTTTATTTCCAAATTCTCTATAACTCCTATTTAGTATTCTATATGAGTAGACCATATTCTATTTATCTGTTTTTGTATTGATACATACATGCATTTATTTTAGAACTATAGGCAGTAAGTAAGGTTGGCAGAAGGAAAAATCTAATCAAGAGGTATTAGAATCTGTAATTTTTAAGGTTGACCCTTACTTTTTGAAACATATGATATATTCCCATAGAAGTGGAATGTGTAGACTAGTATGTAAACATTTATGTATAAATATTAGTTCTTTTCAAAGTAAAGCTCTAAACTTACTTTAATGTCTCATGCCTGTCTGGATGATGCTGGATCACTTTTGCCAGTGCATCATATTCTGAAAGATACAAGAATACTTGCCAAACTAAGATATTTTGAACCTGAATATCAAAACAAAATGTCTAACATCACAAATCTCTCCTAATTATTTTCCTAGTAGATAAAGCAGTGGAAACATTGAAGGATATTCGGAGTATTGCCAGCTTCCTTTCATTCAATTATAACTGCAACAAGTCATGACTTCACAAGTATCTTCCAAACAAGGATTTTAGCTCCTACTCTGTCTTTCCATTTACGTATCCCTGGGTAGAATACAAGGGGCTAGCATAACAGAAAGTGAACTTAAGTCATTATTGTTCATCAAGTAGACTGACTGTGAACATAAGAGAATCTTATTATTTGCCCAGCAAATCGAAGACCAACAAGGTGATCTCTAATTAATTAACAAGGTATCCTACAATTAATTTCAAATCTTAGACAATGTGAAATTATACTTCTCACTCATTTCAAAGGTAAAGATCTAATGAATTATAATTCAGGAACTTTGTTTCTGCTCCACTAAGACCTCCAAGATAAGTCATGTATCTCTTGTTAACTTTTCCTATGAAATGATATATGGCAGCATTTACTTAAAAGCCTCATTAATCTACCAAAACACTGTAGAATTTTTTTTAATGATTTTTCAGTTGATACTAGTTCTTAAATAAGTTGGTATATCCTGCTCTAAATTGGCCACTGCAACCTGACCACATATATTTTAGACTGAATTAAAAAACCATCTTTTAAAAATAAGGAATTAAACATCATCTTAATTAACTCATTAAAAAGTAAAACTGTTTGTTGACAGTGGATTAATTCAATATAAGTGTGATTTTTAATAAAATATTTTTGGATTACAAAATAATACATATTCAATATAAACAACAACAACAAAACCTAAATGATAAAACTCCACAACTCCAAAATAATTATTAACATTTTCTATATCTTTCATGTATATATCACAGTTGTGACTTTACATTATATTTTTAATCTTCCTTTCAACTTACATTATAGGAGGAGCAATGCCTCTGCCATTAAAATTATTTTGAACTAGTTGATATGAACTAAAATAAGGCAGACTTTAATTAAGAACAAAAGAGGTGAGAAGAAAACTAAACTTTAACCTTCCTTTTCTAATAAAATCCAGGCAGATTGTAAATGTTTGCTTGCATAGTCCTTAATAAAAAAAGTCACTGGGCTTATATTCTTTCTTTTTTTTTTTTATGTAGTTCCATTAAACACACACAAAACACAAAGTCCTAAATCTAATGTACTTGTATAACATTATTTAGTCAAAGGGGTATGAGGACAGTAAAATGTGTATATATATATATATACATTTTTATATATAAAATACTTAAAAAAAATACTTGTTTAATCAACACAATCCAACAACTTTTTTTTTTTAACCATGGCCTTCCTTCTCTGCTATTTTAAACAATAATATAGTTTTTAAAGAATTAAGTTTATCTCCTAATTCTTTTTTATAATTTAGGTTGATTCTAGCTGGAGGTTTCATCTCACCACGTTAAAAGCTGCATGAAAATACTAGTCAGTAATGTAGTATTTGCGCACTACATCCCACAAAACCCTTACCTTGCCGGTTTTTTCGTATTCGTTTTGCTTGAAGAATTTGCTTCTTGCACTCTGCAATTTTTTCATGGGCTCCAGCAATGCTACATTCTATATAAAAAGGTTTTTTTTTAAGATACTTATAAAAACATGTTTTATCTCCATTTTCAGTTTTAAAATGTGTTTTTAAATTTAGTTTCCCTGCTAATGAAACAGATGCTGACATTTAAAACACAGCTGTAACTCAAAGTATATCATATTAGAATATATTCTTTCTATTAATGTTGTTATTATTTTACCACTAACCAAAAAAAAATGTTAGTAAATATTGTTTCCCTTAGCCCATAAAAATTAATATCACAGACAGAAACAATTACTTTGTTTCCTTACCTATCTCTTTGTAAATTTTTTCATAATTTTCCATTTCTCTGAGGTTCATGTCATACACCAGCAAAGTTTTGCCCATTGAAAACTCACATTGGGACAGTGTGCTCAGCATACGTTGGTACTGGCTGTATCTAACACAGAAGAGAGAGCAAGAGAATAAACATTTTGTGGATTTCCAGCTGAATCATTGTAATGCAGGCACACCTTTGCTAAGTAAATTATGCCAGGTTCTGAGAGAATATGCTTTATTTAAAATAATTTGAAATATCTGTCCCTTAGTTTTTCTTTTTCCAAATGTGATTTACTTGAATTTATAAACTGCATTAGTTACAAACGTAAAGCTGGAACTGTAGCTGTTAGCAATATAAGTTTAATTCAAACAACTATTTGTTGAATTTTGCTTAATATCCTTTTAAAAATGTTTTAAGATGGTTTTTATCGTCACAATTCTGTTCTCAATTTTTTCACTCTATATAATTATTTATCTATGTGAAAAGCTAATTCAAATGATGAAAAAACTCTTTAAGTTAGAAATTTATCAAATATATAAAACCTTGCAGCAACTTGAATAGTACGTTTAAAAAGAAGAGAAAATTTCATTTAAGTGTTTTGTCTTGCTAAACACTTATCTGCTTTTAAAAGGGACCAAAGTAATAAGTCTGAATTTAACCCTCATTTCTTATCACTGCACCTTCTGCACATTTTAATAAACATAAAAGTAGCCTCTGAAAGGAAGGCCGGAAAAACCTACTCTGGACTCTGTTAATAAGTGAAAATATGAAAAACTGACAGCACTATATGTATGGTCTAAAAAAAAAAATCACACCAGGACATTAGTATAGTAACGGCAGCAACATGAAATACCCCTCTTCCTGAGATCCTGAGTTGCACCATTTAATGAAACTTTTCACCAGCAGATTAATTCTCCGATCATCTCCAGCACCATCTCCATCGATTAGGAGACGCTTCCGTATGACTTCGTCTAGAGGACAGAATAATGTGAATTAAAATGACTGTCTGGTTCCTGTTCACTTTCAGGGACAAATAAGCAACACCACTACACATTCATTTATCTAGAAGAAAACTACTGAAATGTAAATGGACTTGATGCCACTGAACTGTACATAAAATACTGTTCTTAAAAGAATTAAAATGGTCAATTTTATGTTAGGTAGGATTTAATGTAATTTCCATATATAATTTCCATGTATATATATATGGAAAGTTATTAAGTGTCTCATGTCAGGCACTGTTTTAGGGGCTGGAGTTATAGCAGGGAAAAGCCTTGCCCTCATAGAACTGACATTTTATTGCCAGGCTGTAGAGTAAAAATAATTTTCAGGTACTACCAGAGAAATAAGTCAATAATTCTTGGAGAAACTTTTTAGGCAAAACCTGTTCAGACAGAAGAAAGCCTGAAGCATTCATGTTGTTGAGTACTGTAAGGTACTGGTAAAAGGAACAGAGAGAAAAGATTTAAAGACATAGTGGGAGACTAGAAAAAGAGAATGAGATGTATCAGAGAAAAAGGAATTTTTTGGGGGGTATGATTTAGTAATTCAATCTGTAATGTTTCTTTCCTCCTGAGGACTTCTTCTTCTTCTTCTTTTTTTAATGTCTGTCTCCCTTTTGCTCCAAGGAAAAGAAAAAGAGAAAAAGGAATAGAAAAGCAATGCAGATGACAATGCTGAGTAACAAGTAGGGCCCCAGTGGGCTTGCTTGGCAGCCCTGAGCTAGTGTTCTTCCTGGACAAGATAATGCTGGATCATAACAAGAGATGTGCAAGTTGAAACCACAATAAGATATCACTCCATCTTTCAGACTGCTAAAGATCAAAAGACCTGATAATAAGTGATGGTAAGTGTGTTGAGAAGTCACACTTACATACACTGATAGAATGTAAGTGGTGTGCTCTTTGCAAGGCAGCTGGCCAATCAGATAATATTCCAAATGCGTATACCTTTTTGACCCCTTTAGTCCAGTTCTAGGAAATCATCCTATAGATGCATGTGCACCCATGCACAAAGATAAATGTAAAAGGATTGTTCTTAGGAGTACTGCTTGTAGTGAATGAAGTTGCTCAGTCGTGTCCGACTCTTTGCGACCCCATGGACTGTAGCCCACCAGGCTCCTCCGTCCATGGGATTTCCCAGGCAAGAATGCTGGAGTGGGTTGCCATTTCCTTCTCCAGGGGATCTTCCCGACCCAGGAAGATGGCAAACCTAAACATTCACCAGGAAGAGACTGGCTAAATATAAAAGAGTTGTGAAGTGTAATAATATGCAGGGACTTCCCCAGCGGTCCAGTGGTTAAGATTCCATGCTACCATTGCAGGGGGCATGGGTTTGGCTCCTGGTTGGAGAACTAAGATCCCGCATGCCTCACAAGGGGGCCAATAAACAGACATACAAACCTAAACTGATAATTGCTGAAGCTCATGTTTTTAAAAAGAGGTAGTAAGATTCAGCCAAAAAAGTGTGGATGTATATATTAATATCATAAAAATCTCCTTAGATGTGTTAAGTAAAATGAAAATAACACAGGTGCAGAGAAGCACATAGTTTGCTGCCATTTGTATAGAAAACGAGGAGGCCATCTGTGTATGTATGTGCCCATCACACGGGTGTTTATGTACTCAGCAAATATCTTTGGAAGGATTCATAAGAAACTGGTAATAGTGGCTATTTCTGATAAGAGGTACTACAGAGGATGAGATTTAATTTTTATGATTTTATAGGATTGTCTTTTTTTTTTAAACCATATGCAGGCATTTAAAAAATAATTTCTAAAGTGTGAATAATTCCTAGAGAACCTGCATGATGAATCAACAGCAAAATCTTAAAACAATAGTTCCTGTGTGTAGGCAGAAGTATTTTTGAGTGCAGGTGCAGGGGAGATAAACTTTGGAAGGCAGATGGCTCCAGTTTTTTTGTTTTTTTTTACCCCAGTTTCAAAATCTATTCTGTGACAACATCAGATAAACATGTTTAGAATTGGGTTTTGTTCTCAGAGTCATGGCTGTCACAGACAGCTCAAGCTACGGATTCATCAAGTGTTTTAGTTTTACACTGAAAGAGATAAACTAATGGTTTCCTCTTTTAACCACCAATAATGTTATTTGAGGAGACTGAGGCAAAACACCGTCCTGGCAGAGATTAAAATTCATAAAATGAAACTGATTTTTTTTATAAAGTCACAATCATGTTTTAACTTTGTTACAAGTAAACGTTCAGGAGGTGAGCAGTCCAGTGGTCAATTGATGCTATTTAGTTTATTTTTGATCTTCCTACCTCTACTCTTTCAAGCCCCCAAGAGACCCCATCTTCCTCCCAGGTAACTAGGGACCCTCCTTTATAGAGGATGATGGATTTCAAATGTAAACGAATGTAGGCAACAGGGAGTAGGGAAATTGAGGATTGAGTACCTAAAGCGAGAGTTTATTACCAGATCTGGTTTTTCAAGGGATTTTTAAAGTTTGGTGACTAACTGAAAATGTTTCCAGAACATTTAAGTGATCTTTTCAGCTGTATACTTAAGATCTGTGCACTTGTTCACATATGTATGTAATATCCCAATTACAAAAATTTTTGAAAAATGTTTAAAGCATTATACAGGCCAAATAAACTTGGGGGAAAGGTTCATCAGGGCCCATCCTATGTCCTGTTCATTCTGTTTCCTCTCCAGTCTCTCAGACTGTGTCTTTACATTTCTGATGCTCAATAAATATTTTAAAATTGGATTTGTGGTGCCTGCCTGGGAACATCTGCCCTCCAAATAGCTTTGTCTCAGTAAAACACTAACAAGGACTAACATGGAACCATCTTATCTTAGGTCCATAGCAGAGATTTCTCTTCCTGGACAAAAGACATGAATATCTGATTAATGAGCAGCAGTATCCACAGGTGCCAGACTAACCTCTTGAGGACATGAGTTCCTTCACTCTAGCTGGAGCCATAACACACAGTTATGAATGCACACACACAGAGGCTGAGATTGTTAAGTAAATGATACCGACACACAGCAGGAGATTAAGAGGAGAGCTTCCTTTAGCTTGGGGGGAACTGGGAAAGAGGATTTTAAGCTGCTTTTTCCCCCCTTTTTTTTTGGCTCTCCCCCTTGACTTGTGGGATCTTAGTTCCCTGACCAGGGACTGAACCCATTCCCTGGAAGCATGGAGTCTTAACCACTAGACCACCAGGGAAATCCCTAAAGCTGCTCTTCTGATATTAGACCAACATTGGTCAAAAAAAGAAAGAGCTAAAAGGCATTCTAACAGTATCTATGGAAATGTCAGTATCTATGGTCAAAATTCTTTGACCCCCAAAATCCTAGATATACTTGCCCATATGCAATATGACATGCTTATCGGCAGCAGATTAAGATATATAAATTTTGGTATAAGAATATGATAAAATAATACAAAGTTATAAAAAACAAAGAATGAGGAAAACTGTGTATATGGAAAGGAAGACCACTTAATACAACTTGTTAAAAGAGCAAGGTAAAGAATCCTATTTATGGCATGTTTCTTTTCAGATAAAAGTAGGGAAATAAGTATATTCATATGTGTTGATGTTCACATAGATATACTGGAATGATATACAAGAAACTACTATAAGGAGTTACCAAAGAATCGAGCAGGTTAAGCTGGGTAGCTGGAGGACAGGCTGAAAGATGTCTTATGTTACTTGATTTTTGAACCATATGTCTTATATTTTTGAAAATGTCTTACATTAGTTCATTTTTGAACCATATAGTAGTCAAAATGTGTTAACTGATGTTTGCAAAAAGAAAGCTATGACTGTGGTGATGGTAACATAAGTGTTTGTATCTGATAGCTCAGCTGGTAAAGAATCCACCTGCAATGCAGGAGACCCCAGTTCGATTCCTGGGTCAGGAAGATCCCCTGGAGGAGGGCATGGCAACCCACTCCAGGATTCTTGCCTGGAGAATCCCCATGGACAGAGGAGCCTGGCGGGCTACAGTCCATAGGGTTGCAAAGAGTCGGACACGACTGAGTGGCTAAGCATAGCACACAACTGCATCCAATTATACACAACACATGTAGTTCTTAGTGTATCAGTTATACTTCAACAAAAGTGGAAGGAAGGAAAAGCAAGCAAGCAACATAAAATCGCGTCTCTCCCCACCTCACCTGCAACAGGCAGGGAGAAAGCTGTGAGCTAAGGCAGAGGTGGGGATTGCAAGGCTGGGTCTGGGATGTGAGCACTCTTCCTAGAACACTAGGAAGTCTGGGGGCCTGGAGACCGATGCCAAGACCCAAGCACATAGAGGCAGTCAGAGGTCAGATTGTGGAAGTCCACAGTAGTGAATGCCACACTGGTAGACTCTGATCCTGTTGGCAGGCAACAAGTTGGAGTTGCTGGAGATTTGTGATGGGACTTTCTAGGAGGATCAAGTGTACAAAATGGGGTGTAACTGTGAAGCTCTCACAGGCTGGGAGGTTAGTTAGGAGGCTTCCAAAGCATATGCCCACCGAAGGAGCTAAAAGGGTGTGAATTAAAGCAGAGATCAGAGTCACAGGTCCTGGAAGGCAGACAAGGGCTCAACAGAGACTTGGTTAGTTTTAGGAAAAGGCAGGAGCCAGGACCAACTGGCGGGGACGAGCAGGGCAGGCTGATCCGTTCTGTAGCACAGGGGACATGCTGTCCAGCCCTCAAGGTCCTTCTCCTGCTTGAGCCTGATCCCTCTTTCGTCTATGGAGCATTTCTTCACAGCCAGACCCCAAGTCAAAAACTGGGGCCAGTGTTCTGGTTAGTCCGCAGTATTTACTTTGTGTGCGTGACCAACTTTTAGCTTCATCTGTAAAAATGGGAATAAAACAATCCACTTCATAGGACTGCTGTGAAACCTTATGGAAATGAAAGTATACAAGTGCCTGTTCACTACAGGAAAACAAAAAAGAGAAAAGCAAAATTATTCTTATCTTCATGTTAAATTTAATTCCCAAAGTAATGTGAAACAGTGAATAAATGTTGGAGCTATATCTATAGATACATCTATATACTGACATAGTTACATAAGATGCATAGAAAGTTCTGCATATTTACGATTTATCACAAATTTGCTTGTCTCAAGCTTCAAGCTATAAGGTCATTGTATTCCTAGCTTAAACAGCATAGGTAGTTGCTGCCTAGGAATGTCTGTGGGGATGAGGAGGACTGAAATTATATTTATATATAATATTATATAATACATATTTATAATGTATGGTTCCTGGCATGTATGACACGAGCATTATTTTTAATTGTACCTCATTAATTAGCTCTAGACTGGACACACCTAAACATGTTCTGTTTACTATATGCATTGACTTCATAAATTATTATCATGCTTGAAGCTCTCTGTAAGCAATCTGAATAGTAATATTAAGTCAGGAGGCCCTTGGTCTACCTGTAAAAATAGTGAAGTTGGTTTAGAAATTATTTCAGTGATGTTATCAACATCATTCCTTAGTTGTCACAAACACTTTCTTTACGAGTATGAGGATCAAAACCACCTTGGAAAAGCCTTTAACCCAAAATACCTAATGTCTGCTCCGAGAATGGTGGCTTTCCACCAGATTTTAGGCTTGTATGAAGATTTCTTATTGGATTCAGTTATATGGGTACCACTGTATACTCTATAACATGTCTGCCATTCAAAATCACTTTCAAATCAGTTATGACACAAGCATGATGATGAGCAAATACTTATTTGAAAAACTGGGATGCATTTTTTTATATGCCATCCTCTAACTAGAATACAAAACTGCTTAACATGCTAAATAGGTCTCAAGAAAGCCATTTTAAAGGGTTAGATTTTAATACCTAACTTTTCATAAACAGGCTGGAAGAAATGACTCCTTTACAGTCATTAAACCAACTCTCCGTTTCCAAGCCTCTGGCTGATTGACAGAGCCACTGCAGTTGTTTTCTCGTTTTCGTGTGGAAAGGACAATCTCTCAGAAACCACACTTACACTGCTTTCACAAACTGTTATTCCCTCAAAGTGGCAATTAAAACCTTGATTATAGAACAAGTTTTCATAGCCTCTTGGAGCAGATGTTCAAAAAGGAAAGAGAAGGACAA